TTTTTTTTTTTTTTTTTTTTTCATTAGAAGCCCCATTTATTTTTGTTCAACTTCGTCTTCATCATCTGGTTTATTAAACAAATTTGGTGGTACAGACGACACTCACAATCCAATTTCTAGAAAATCCAGAGAAAGCCAAAAAATCGAACTAAACTGCGCAATTTGATGTGGTTCGGTTCAGTTACTTTCATTGTATAAAATTTTCAGTTCGATTATTTTTGTGTTGTGCTGCGATTCAGTCATTGCTCGCCATTCACGGCCCGTTCAAATTTCCACTAACAGCTAGCCGTACTAACGTTTTCATAATTAGCCACATGGTTAACAAATAAAACCTGTTTTGAGCGGATATATTTGTATTCAAGTATGCATACGAAATTTGCATGTGTGTGGATAGTTCGTAGACTCTGATAAGCTTTATGCCTTCCGACTCTGATAAAGACTTTGGATTTTGCAGCTTAAGACATTCGAGTCATTCATGTATAAACATCTCTTGATCTATACACGCACAATACTCTACAGATTGGGCTAAGCAATTACTAGCTATAACAAGTAGTTGCATTTGTACCTTAATGGTGAAATTTGTAATACAAAAACTCCAAAAGATAGTTATACATTACGTGATCGAGTTGACTCATTTTTTGTCAATTAGTATTTCATTTGTTTAATGAGTGATATGATAATACGAAGACTGATGATACGTGTACACATCGTATACAACTATGTGTACACCATTATGTCATATTTGTACACACCTCATTGTCATATTTGTATGCGAAGAATGAGTGATTCGTAATTTCAACTTTCAAATAGAGAATTGTTTTTAATTTCTTGAGGTATATATGTACACACCTCATTGTCATATTTGTATACAAAAAATGAGTCATTCGTTATTTCAAGTTTCAAATAGAGTATTGTTTTTCTTGAGTTGATCTAAAGTTTATGAAAAAAAAAAAGAAAAAAAATAGTTAAAAATAAGTCGATATCAATAAATTCTGTACCTACGGTCCTACACAGAAAAATAGGTAACAAAATCAAAAGTAACAGCAAAAATCCACTAATATAGTAAAAGATCAACAATGAACAATAGTCTCGAAACAGTAGACCCCATCGAGCTCCGGTGCAAACCTCGCCGTCATAACCCTCCGGCGATCCTCCGGCTTCGAAGGGGACGCATTTACCTCTTTGCCCTTCTCCATGCCACCAATTTTCACCTCCGAACCTTGATTATCATCAGCTTCACCACAAGGCGCCGGGCCCCTGAAACAGCTGATTTTCCGGCCGAACAAAGTCAAGGCAAAAAGCGCCTCGAACGAGCTGAAAATCGACGTCGACATAACTGATCGAGCTTCGAGATTTAAAGGAAAAAACTTAATAGAGAGCTTTGATTGAGGAAATTAGAAGTGAAAGCGCTTAGGGGAACTTGTTAGTATTTAATTATTTATAGAGAGAAAGAAAAATTAAGCTAATTAGTAATTACCTTGTGGGGAAAGGATTGAATGGAAATTTACAATTAATATATCTTACTGCATTAACTAAATATTTTATTACTATGTATGATTTTTATTTTATTTTATTTTTTCTTGAGTGTATTATTTATGTTATTTCTACAAATGTTATACTTCTATTTATATTATTTTTAAAATTAATATTTTTAAATAACATGTTATGAGAAGAAGTGTGCCGGGAAAACTTATACTTGAGTCAATTCGTGACATAATAGTAATATTTTATACAATGATAATCTGATTGTTTATATTATGAATCCATCAATCTTTCAAATTTAAGCCCAAATGTAGTGCTGTGAAAAACCCTCCAAATAAAGGTCGATCCCCACCCACACCACAACCAAAGGCCCAAAAGCATATATGCTTTTACCCGCGCACTATTCATTCGAGCTTCCCTCTCTCTCTTCAATTTCTGCTGTTAGCGCCGTCGTTTGGGCGGAGGAGAACTAGGCGGCGGCGGCGGGCCGCTGTACCGTCGCGATCCTGATAAATTTTTCAGTCCAGTGTTGCTACTAGCCTTAAGCCTTGAACGCTAACAATCTGTGCTAATATACGTATAATGTGCAGCTATGCACACAGTATTCCTGATTCGTATTATAGTTTCAGCTCCGATTGTCTGTTGGTTGAGGGATTTCACTGTTGACGATTCGCATTTTCTGGCCTGTTTAGGATCCTGGAGCTCGAGGCGTAACAATCATTTTCACCGGCAAGCGTTTTTCGCTATTGGTGTGGTCGATGGTGAAGGTATGCTAGTTTAACAGACTCAAACTCGATCCATCAATGAGCTTCTTATAGTATTTGTCTGGATACTGTGTGTTGATGAGTTTTTCAGCCAATTTCATTTTGATGTTCAGTTTGAGCGTGAACTGGTGTGAGACTATGTTTTGGTTTTGTTGTGAAAACGGTGGACAATTTTCTAAATGTGTGTGAAAATTGCTACCAAATATTTTGGCGCGGATAATCGCCCTTTTGTTAGGTCGATTTATTGGTCCTTTAGCTGACAATGCTTGGTGCTTATTTGATCTATCTAAGTTATTGGCCTTGTCTGAGTACCATACACTGTTTCCATCTGCTTAGCTAAATATCATATTTATAGTGAACGGTACGCCTTCCTTTCTGTAAAACATCGGTCAAGTGGGTAATGAAACTTCTTAAGGGTAAGTAATGTGTGAACGTTTTTTTCGTATTTAGTTGTGATTTTTAAATAACCACGTCTTACCTACTAAATTGTACTATAGTAGAAAATGGTAGTTTATATTGATTGTACTGGCATGAGGAGAATTACTATGAAAGTTAGATACATAGAGTTGCTTTCCTCGCATTTCAAGTGAACAAGTTACCCTGTATAATGAACCACTCCACAGATCAGCGATACTTGCGATTGGAATATGCTACTAGGACAGTTTTAGCAGTTAGTTGTGTTGCTGTTATAGAATTTATTTAGGATCGCAATTTGTACTTTTTGATGTAAATTTCATGTGCGCTCAAGTGGGTAATGAATCAATGCATTAGTGGCTTGCAGTATCTGTTCAATACCATGGAAACACATGTAACCTTCTAAAAGTAGTTTTCGAGCTCATGTCCCAAATATACAACGGGTTCGGTTTCTATTGTTTCTGGTTAATTGTGTGCTTCCACTATTTGTTAATTTGGGACTCTCTAGTTTGTGGACATATCGGAATTGCTGGACAATCATTTTACGAGTACCAATTTCGAGGATAGTGAAATTGTTTCCGCAATAATTCCATATGTAAGTGATTGCCATTTAAATTGTTGTTGACCAGATTTCTGGCATGTGGTCTTCCCTACGTGTTATTGATGACATAGCCATATATTCAGAGTTAAACACAAACTAGTTTGTCTCATGTGATAGCAAAGAAGAGACAATGCAGAGCATGAATATGCATGATTCATTACCCTTTTTCTTTTCCTTCGGGTTGTTAATACAGATTCTTAAAATTTGGGAGAGACAAATAATCTGCAACTTGATCCTATCTCATCCTATAAAAGTCAAGTGAAACTGACCGATGACTGGAGTCTGCCGTGCAGTATGCCTCTTACAATGAAATGCTGATTTGCCACTCACAATTGCTGCTCCTCAGAACTACCCCGATTACTGCTCTATTATTGCTCTTGCGGGCATAAATGGAAGAATTTCACTATGGAGAATCCATGCAACAGTTTGCAGTTCAATTCTTAACCTTAAGAACATCATGCTTTTGTGGTATACTTCTCTACATATTACAGCTGGAACTCTTTCCACAACTTCCTCCAAGATTAATTATCCCATGGCAGATAAATGCATTGCTTGAGTTTGTTAATTTGAATAAGGAAAAGCCCAAATATATATCTGCTGCATCGGTCAGGCTAATAAAATGTCGGATGGCTAGGCAAGTTTTGGTGTTAAATTTTGATTATCACAAGTACTTTTTCAATTATATTACTGTAGCTGTTGCACATGAATGTTTCATAACTCAATTAGAATTTATAAATTTTCAGACTCTATGTCATAACCGCTACCGTGGAACATAGAACTACTCGTGGGCCAGCAAAGACTTTCGTGTCCCTGTAAATCATAGTCAGAATCTATTTGTTTCACCTCGTCTTTCAGGTAATTTCTAAGTTCTTAAAGATCTTTCTATTGTTAAAATAAATGAAGAAAGTGCTAACAGAGCTTTACGTAGTTGTTCCAATACTTTCTCAAGAGGGATCTATCAACTTGGTTTAAGGTCTTACTCACTTATTATCACCTTAGTGACTGAGTTATTTTAATCCTTCAGACAGTGTTGTTAGTGCTATGACTATGATAAATGCGATAATTTGTACGATCGGTCGGTGAAACTTAATTTTCTTAACATCACTTGCCATGCTAATGTGTAAGATTTTACGAGACTATGAAAAGTAACGAATGTCCTACTTTTTATCCAACTGACATTTGTGGATTTCTAACGTGTTTTTCCAACTTGTCGCACTCGTGCAGATATTTGATGGAGAGACATTACCTACCAGCGGCCATTAGAAAATATTGCATGTCAGTTAGATATTTGTTTATAATTGTTGTTTGACATTTTTTTTATCTGCTTAGACTAAGATAAAATACTTTGGATGCTATCATTTTCAGATGCTTTTATTACATTACAGATACTACGTATTCTACAATTGAAACGGCAGAACAGGATGACACAAGTTGAAGGTAAGTTCTTATATTTTTAAATAAAACAAATGGGTCGTTCCGTAATTTGAAACTTTTTCTAGGATTTTTGGTAATTAACCCTAACTCCAGGTGTGGTTCTGTAAGTATGCCTGATATTTATGCTGGTTTGTGAAAAGTACGTATATATTTAGAACATAGGTTCGGGATTTTGGCTGATATTAATTATACCAAAGTGTAGGCTTGATTACTTGATGAAATTTAGGTGGAACATAATTATTGCTCGTAAAAATAGTTTTTTTTTTTTTTTTTTTTCAGTTGGCTCTATAGTGGAGCCAACCTTCTAGATATAACAAGTAAATTATCATATTCTCTGATTACTTAAATAACACTAATATGAATATATAATTTTATTAATATGGTAGATTTATTTGTTGTATATAATTGACTTCACTATGGAGTCAATTGTTGACTTCATAGCAAAACCGGTTCTAATAAGGTGCCCCTGTTTTGTGCTGCCTTTATCATTCTTATCTTTCGTAAAACAACTATATATTATATTTTATAATTTTATTAGATGAATCACATGTCATACTTTAAAAAAAAAACTCATATTTATAATATAAAATTTTATATTTTTATTCTTATTTTTATAGAAATAGAGGTTGACATTTCAGTTTGAAACGATGCATACAAATTTTAAAAAAGTATGCATGTCTATTCATTAGACTTACGTGTCATTATTGATATTATTTTGACTTCATGAATCCTTTAAAAATAAAAACTCTCCATATATTAAACCATCTTTAACGGTGACCCCAATGAGTGGGTCACCAATTAAAAAAACATAAAAAAAAAACAATAAAAAAGAAAAAAAAAAACGAAAAGGTTATAAAAAATGAGTGACACAGGTCACATTGTGACTTTGGGTCCCACGTATTGTGTGGAGAATGTGACATTTGTCCTATTTTGATTGGATAAGTGTATATTTTTTTGTTTAAAAAAAATAAAAATAATATTAAAATTCATATTTTTTCATTCTATACTAGTAAAGACCACACTTGATATACTTTGAAATAAAATTATTATTTTTAAATAAATTAAAATAAAATAAATATTTAGGTTGAGTTGGGTTGGGAATAAAAATAAATTGAGTTGTAAAGTGAATTGTGTAGATAGAGGAGAGATAAATATTTTTTAATTATTAAGTTGGGTTAGGGATAAAGATAGTATTATAGATGATAGACATAATATATGCATGAATCTTTCCATTTTTGTTCCTCTCATAAGTCAATTACCCAAATTTATTTCCTGTTTTACACTTCATTTCATATATTTAACTGTGTACAAATCTTTATTGTTTATCATCATGGCCAAAATTTTACAATTGACCAACATATGCTGTTATTAATTTCTGAAGCCTCGATTTAATGGACTGTGCTCGCTTGTACGGTTGAGATTAAAAGTTGTAGGGAAGGTGGGGACCACACCAGAGGGTCTAGATTCTTCCAAATCCCACTGCCTAGTAAAACTCTGTGTTAATTGTTAGTTGATGCCTAATGGTTCCAATAATCAACTTAAAAGTGTTGCTATAATATTAGCTTGATCATGACGTTCGGGGGGTGTCTTATCTTCGTAGAATATTAGCTTAATCGCTTAGGCCTTTGGCCTCCTTCGT